AAGATGGAATGCTGGTATCTGAAAACATCTTAGTAGGCCAGTTTGACCAGAACATAGAGTGCATGAAAGAAAGTATATAAAATAAGTGTAGAAGGGTGTGTGGGAGCCACATTGTGGAGGTCTTTAAGTATCACACTCAGGAGCTTGTAGTTTATGTAAGCAATGTCAAGAAGCTCCGAAGATTTTCTGCAGAGGAATGATGTTATCAGTCCTATGCATTAAAGATTATTTTAGCAGCTCTGTTTGGAGAGGGGAGTGACTAGAAATAGGGATAGGGACGAAACCTGTAATTTCAGTGATAAATTGAACTCCTATATGAGGACACTTCACCAGTGCAGCTCCGCATCTTTCCCTGTACATCAGAGTCTTAGAGAGTTTCCTAGAGCGTTGAGATGTTGTGGCTTGCCTGGGGTCCCAGAAATAGGATTTGAACGCAGGTATTTTTCCTGCCTCCAAGGCCTATCTCTATTTAATATATCATACTACAACTATTTCAACATAGGCAAACCAATTATTAGGAGACTTTTTTACTACATGTAAAAAGTGATAGCCTGAACTAGGATAATATAAGATAGAGGATAGATATAAGAGATGTTGAAAAGGTATAAATAACAAAACTTGACAATGGATTGACTATAGTCAATGAGATATAAGGAATGCAGGGGGAAGGAGAAATCAAAAGTGACTCTTAACATGAAAATTTGGGTGGCTGAAAAGTTGGATTATGGTGTCTTCATCAGAAATTGATAAATTTGGAGAACAGATAGGTTTAGGGTAGAAGATAAAGAGCTCTATTTTGGTTAGGTTGAGTTTGAAATGTTGGGGCAAGCATGTGGAGATGATAGAATCATAGATTTTGAGTTGGAAAAGACTTTTCTAGTTAAACTCCCTTATTTTACAGGTGATAAAACTAAGGCCTAGATTAGAGAAATAATTTGCTCAAGGTCATGTAGGTAATAAAAGTCAGGGCTGCTATTTGAACTCAGTTCCTCTGTGTCCAAACAACATAATCTGTTTCAGAAGTCTTAGTGTAGTTTTAAGCTATTAAGGCTTAAACTACAACATACTATTTCTTTTGCATATTTCTGTAGCATTTTCAAGTATACAAAGTGCTTCTCTCACCATAGCTCTATGAAATAGTGAGTACAAATATTATTTCCATTTTACAGGTGAACTTGAAAGTCAGAATGTATATGTCCAACATCACCTAATTAGGAGATATATAGCAGCCATTCTGTGATAAAAGACTGGATTCAAGGAGAAAGGAAGTAAGGCTAGATAAGATTTGAGACTTATATAGATGTATATAGATACAGATAGCAATCACATAGAGATTATAACTAACCTTGAGAAGTAGATGAGATCACTAAGAGGGTATGGAGATAGAAAGGGACTTAGGACAGACCCTAGTTCTTAAGACGTAGGAGAAATAAGATAATTACACTACAAATTATAATATAAATTAAAATATGATTCAGTGCCTAAAAGTGGTCACATAGACTGGAATTAGAGATTTGGGGAGACCAGAATAGGTACCTAACCCTTAAAAGAAAAGAATGAAAAATTTTTCCAGGTAGATACTAGATTGGAGGAGAAGTAGTTCCAGTTGGGAAATACATGAGAACATAGTATGAGTTGTCTAGAACATGAGGTGCACCAAGAATAGCGTGAAATGAGCCTAGAATGGAAGGTTGGACTAGTATTGAACTTTGAATACTACATGATTGTGTATTTTTGTTCAGTAAATAGTCAATGAAAGGGGTTTTTTTTTAATTATTATTTTTTGGGGGAGGGATTTTGGCTAGGCAATGGGGTTAAGTGACTTGCCCAGGGTCACACAGCTAATAAGTGTTATGTGTCTGAGGCCGAATTTGAACTCAGGTCCTCCTGAATGCAGGGCTGTTTCTCTATCCACTGTACCACCTAGCTGCCCCTGAAAGTTTTTAAGTAATAAAAAAGATGTTATCAGATCTGCTTATTAGGAAAATTATTTTAGCAGTAGGTGAAAGACAGTGTGGAAAGGAGTAAGAATAGAGGCAGTGTCCATTTTAAGAGGCCATGAAACTACTCTATATTGACAGTAATGAGAACCCAGACTAGTCTGGTAGTATAGGAGGGAAGGAAGTTAGGTGGAACAATACTGAAGGAACTTGGCCAGCTGATAGGCTAGATAGGCTGTGGGGAGGCAAGGGAATGGAGGAGTCAAAAATTGCTCCAGAGTTTGAGGTTGGGTGGCTGGGTAAATGGAGGTACCACTAAAAACAATGGCTAAGTTAGTTCAGAGGTGTAAGTTTAGGGGTGATAAAGAGTGAGTTTACTTTTGGGCATGTTGAATTTAAAGTGTGAGCAAGATACCCTGATACAGAGTTCTAGTAGATAGTTGGGAATATAGAACTGGAGCTCATAAAAGAGTTCAGGGATGGAATGAAAGGTTTGGAGCCCTCTGCATAGAAATGAACTTTGAAGCATGGAGATATAAAACCTGAAGAAACTTGGAGATCGTACACCCATACTTATGGAGTGGAAAGGGGAAGCAGAACCAAAGAAGACATGATTCAAAATGGTCAAGACCTTTTATAGTTTATGGGAAAGTCTTTAGATAATATAATAGCTAGCATTTTCATGTCACATTAAGGTTTGCAAAGAGCTTTACAAATATCTTATATCCTCACAACAACCCTGGGAGATAGGTGCTATTATTTTTCCCATTTTACAGGTGGGCAAACTGATGTACAGAGAGTTTAAGTGAATTGCCCAAGTTCACACAATAGTGTCTGAGGCCAAATTTGAATTCAGGATTTCCTGATTCCAAGTCCTCCATTCTATCCACTGAACCAGCTAGCTGCCTGAGAATCATATTAGGACTTCTTTAAAGCCATAATGTATGCTTCTATCCTGTGGAGTTTAGTTCTTTAAGAACCATAAGGACTTATGGTTTCTTTTGCTCATTCTCTTGTTCCATGGGGTCTGCATTTTAGATATATATAATTTGGAAAATGAGAATGAATAATATAATAAAGCCAATTTGAAAACGAGGGCTTTTCAGATTCAGAATTTTATAAATGTTTCACTGTTAAGATTTTTGGTGTATTTTTGAAAATAGAAAGTGTGGCCTTAATAAAATATAGATAATGTTTATTCTTTTGAATTTACACATGCACACACACACACACACACACATTCTTCTTTAATATACTTCATGACAATCTAACAGAAATAATACTTTTGATTACTTTTACTACATATAGTTTTATTTATGAAGTTAGTGGGGTTTTTTGACTGTTTTTCCTTTCTTAAAAGAGCATAAAATCTGGTTGATTGACTTAAACCTAATTTATGATTATTATATAGCTTTTGTTCTATTTCGCATCCTAAGAGGTATTCCTAAATAATGTAATCCCTTTCTCCCAAGGTATATTACACAGGCAAGTACCAGAGCTTAGGAATCAAACAAGGTGGGCCTTCAGCAGGAAAATGGGTTGAGCTGCCGATTACTAAATCTCCAAAGATAGTTCAGTTTTCAGTTGGCCATGATGGTTCCCATGCTCTATTAGTTGCAGAGGATGGAAGCATATTCTTCACAGGATCTGCCAGTAAAGGAGAAGATGGAGAGTCAAGTAAGTCGCCTTAGTTAACTGTGGAAATAGAATGAAATTAATTTTATCAAAGAATGTATTAATTCCATGAATTGTTATTAACATAACAAGTTTACTATCTCATTAGGATTGTATTTACTTGTTCTTTTTATTGATTTGTAAAATGCTGTAAAATAGAAAAATTCATAATCACTATAATGCCTAAAATATCAGATATTTTAGCAGGAAGGTTTGCTTTTTAAATATGACATTATTGAAGATAAAATATATAAATGATCTAAAGAAAAACATTTTTAAATTATTAGACATATTTTTATTTTAAATTGAAATTATTTTTCATTTTTTATAAAATTATTCTTAAACCTAGTAGATATACTTTATATCTTACTCTTTATTTGTTTGATAAGCTTGTGGTATAAAAGCTTATATTTTTGCCTAGCTATAAAAAAGTACGTATAACTTTTATGTTCATCAAAGAATTGTAATTGATGAAGACATTCTAAAATGATAGTTTGTCTTAGGCTTCTGTAGCTAGGAGACCTCCAAAGTCCTGCCTCTGTCATGAACTGACTCTGTGACCCTGGGCAAGTGCCTTAACCCATCAATGCCTTGGGAAACTCTCTAAGACTGTTACAGAGCAGGTACTGACATGTGTTGGTAGAGGCAGTTTCCTTATCGGGGAGCTCTTTGTGCTGATGAAATCACAGGCCTGTTACCTGTCTCTGTCCTGTCCGTTCTGAAGTATTTATGAGGATTCAGTGTGCACATTGCTCAGAGTTGGAGGACCTGGAATCAGATTCCATTTCTTTCATTATACTACTTGGGTGACCATTGGCGAATCTCTTCATGGCTCTGGACCCAATTTTTTATTCTGTGAAATGATGGACTAGGTACCTGGTAATGTCCCCATCCAGCTGTCAGTCGATAGCCCTGTGTACTTGTGGGCCAGTGAGGTGGTACTATGGATGGAGCACTGGGCCTTACTTACTTACTAGCTACATGACCCTGTTCAAGTTTCTTAACCTCTCTGCCTCAGTTCCTTCATCTTAAAATGGAGAGGACAATAACACCTACCTTGCAGGGTTGTGAAAATCAAATGAGATAATATTTGTAAAGCACTTAACACAGTGGCTGGCATATAGTAGGCACTATATATATGGTTTTTTTTCTTTCTTCTTTCCCCTTCTCTATATTAGACTTAGCTTTGATTGTAAGTGTAAAAATAAAGTGTGTTTTAATTAATGATTTTAATAGTGTATACTTGGTTTCATTTGCAAGATAGATTCTTTTTGCACATTAAATTACTTTATTTGCCTATTTTTTTAAGCTAAAAGCAGACGGCAATCCAAACCATACAAGCCTAAAAAAATAATTAAAATGGAAGGAAAAATTGTGGTGTATACAGCATGCAATAATGGAAGTAGTTCTGTCATATCTAAAGATGGAGAGCTCTACATGTTTGGGAAAGATGCCATTTATTCTGACAGTTCAAGTAAGTTAACATTTAAAAGTTACATAGCACAAATGTGAGGACATGCTATTAGAAAATGTGGGAAAATGCCTATACAGAGGCTAGTAAGTGGTGCGGTGATTGGAGTGCAGGACTTGGAATTCAGAAGATCTGAGTTCACATCCTGCCTCAAACAGTTATCTGTGTGACCTTGGGTAAATCACTTAACCTCTATATGCTTTCACTTTTATTACCTGTAAAATGGGGGTAATAATAGCACCTACCTCCAGGGTTGTGGTGAGAATCTAGTGCAGTAATATTTGTAAAGCACTTTGAAATATCTTAAAGATCTTTATAAATGTTAGGTGTTATCATTTATGAGCCATTTTATTGTACACTGTGAAAATCATATTATCTGTAGTAAACTAACATGTCATTCCTACTTTAATTTCACTCTTCATTTTGGTCTTTTCAGATATAACTTTCACTTTATATTTGTAACTCCTTCCTATGTAATCTGAGATATTCAAATCTTGCCTCGGATATTTATTAGCTGTATGACTCTAGGCAAGTCATTTAACCTGTCTCAGCCTCAGTTTTCTCATCTGTAAAATGAGAATAATTATAGCACCTACCTCTCAGCGTTATTTTGAACATCAAATGAGATAACATATGTAAAGACTTTGCAAACCTTAAAGTGGCATATGAATGCTAGCTGTTGTTAGAGAGAAGTATCACTGATGTCATGGAGGGCTAACCAAAGTTAAATGATGACGTGAATATCTAAAAACTCTAGATAGCAAGGATAGTAAATAAATAGAATATTTGATTATTTTCATTATGTTGGACTTCATAGCTGTACTATATTTGTAGTTTGTTGATACATATTGAAAAACATTGCCTTATATGAGGGATTTTGTTACATATAAAAGATAGTGTTGTATCTTTACGAAGAACGCATACAAATGATCATTTCAAAATGAGTAGTCACAATTAAGGAATAGAGATTTATTTTCAAAGTACTTAAATATGGGATAGTTCAATGAGGATTGCTAAATAAAGACATCCATCTGCATGGAATTTTTATGAGGCTAGAATAATGAAAAGACCTATAAGTTTACACTTTAAAAAAAAGATTTTTCAGGTTTTAAAGGAAAGCAGTGACATTATTATCAAATAGGTTTAAAACCGTGAGCAAGGCTTCTTTGGCTATTTTTAAAAAGTGATAGCTAACATTTATGTAGTACTGTAAAATTTATAAGGCACATCACAGAAATTATCTTGTGTAATATTTTGGGGGGAAAACCTGTGAAAGGCACTACAGATACTGTTTTCCTCTTTTTATGGATGAAGAAACTGAGGCTCAGAAAGTGTATGGGATGTGATCATGTTCACACAGATAGCATGTGCTGAAAGCTGACTTTGAATTCAGGGCTGTCCTCACTCAGTCCTAGTTCAGTTCTTTTAACCCCATAAATCCAACTGGAATGCAAAATATAGTCAGTGATGGGTCTCAGTGCTAGAAATACAGTGCTTACATTATGTAATAAATGCTTGGTAAATATTTATGAATCAAATTGACTTCACCTGATGGTCTGAGGATAGTCTAATTTTTTTTTAATAGTATTGCTGCTTTTAATAATCAGGGTCCATAAGAAATCACTTCATTGGCTTTTCATTAAAAGAAGTGCCCTTCTTATAATAAATTTTGGTGAGGTTTTATTTATTTTGCAGTGACAAGTCAAAGTCAACAAAATAGGTAAACCCTGGGTCCTTTGTCCCACCAGAGTAGTCTACGGATCAAAAACATTTTACAATTGCTCTGCCAGTACTGGATATTGAATAACGTTTGTCAATTAAGTAGTTTCATAGTCTGCACGGAAGCCAAAAGACACATTCCTGACCCGTTACTTGTTTCTTACAAATTCTGTTTTCCCAATAGGTTTGGTAACTGATTGAAGGGCCATTTTGTAACTCAGGTAGCCATGGGAAAGGCTCATACTTGTGTCTTAATGAAGAATGGGGAAGTTTGGACATTTGGTGTAAATAACAAAGGGCAGTGTGGACGAGACACAGGCTCCATGAACCAAGGAGGGAAAGGTAGGTATTTAATGTACTTATACTATAAATTTTTCCTTCCTTAAAAATATATGAGGCCATAAATACACACACACACACACACACACACACACACACACACACACAAGTTACTATACTAGTTTATTCTTTTTTTGGCATATAATCTCTGACTTGTTTATTTGATCAATTTCCATGTTAAATCATCATCTCTATACAAATTACTTTGTCTATATATCCAGGTTTGACTTTCCTGAGTTGTAGTTCCACATCACCAGCTGCCTTTTGGACATTTCAAACTTAATGACCCGTACATATCAAAAAATCAACATGTCCAAAGTAGAATTTATGTTTCTCCCAAAACTTATTCCTCTTTCAGACCTACCTATTACTGGCTAGTGATGCTAGCTACCTTGCTGTTCCTTGAGCAAGATATTCTTACTCCTAACTTGGCACATTTTTATTGGCTGTGTCCCATGCCTGGAATTCTCTCCCTCCTCATCTGTTTCTGGCTTTCCTAGCTTCCTTGAAGTCTCAGCCAAAATCCCACCTGCTGGTACCTTAATGTTAGGGCCTTCCCTCTAAGCTTGTCTCCAATTTAGCATGTGTATATTCTATACATATTGCTTGTATATAGTTGTTTGCATGTTGTCTCCCCCTGTTGCCCGCAACCAGATTGTACACCGAAAGGAGAGGCGTGAAATAACTTGTGACATGGGCCAGGCGGAGCAGAATTATTGACTCAATTTATTCATCTGAGGGTACAGGATATATAGAGAAAATCTAGCCTAACTTCAAAGAGTCCTCCTCACGAGATACTCCCCAGAACATCTGCTGAGGATGTGACAACATGAATTTCCTTGTTATCAGGGTTCCTAGATTGGGTTGTATTTTCCAAGGTTTTCCCAGGTGCCTTGGCACCACCTGTATAGAGGAGTGAATGTGTAAATCTAAGGTTCAAAAAGTAAGAAGGAATGTCTCAGGGACCTCCTAATCAGGAAGGGATTGGAGAGCTGTACCACTTAATCAGTGAGCCCTTTTGGGTAAAAGCCTGGGCAGAGGTCAAACTCTGCCTTGGATCTTAAACCCTTATCAGACTCTTAAGATCCGCCCTCAATATCCCCCATTAGACTGTGAGCTCCTTGAGAACAGCAACTTTTTTTTGCCTTTCTTTTTATCCCCCATACTTATAACAGTATCTGGTCCATAGTAGGCTTAATAGTAGACATGTTGACTTGACTTTGGTAGTAATAATTTATTAACAGTGTGCAGTTGTTAGCATTGAATTACTTTTTAAAACAAGTGGACTTATTTTTGTATTTGTATTATTAACTTTAAAATTACAGTCACACCTGTTGGAAAATGAGCTGTGTAACATAATTTTAAAAGGAACTAAAACTTAAGAACTTAACCAAAATGTAACCATTTTAATGAAATCTTTCTCATATATACATACAAAAATACATGCATATATATATTTATATCTCTGCTGAATGTAATATTCTGCTGAATATTATTTTTCATTTTCTTGAACAGTTAAAATCAGCTAAACTTTTTCAGTGTACAGTATTGATCAGTTTTGTGGAGTTTTTTCTTTTTCTTTAAAAATTGTCATTTGTTATGTTGGATGGCTCTTTGGGGAGGGGAGTTAGGAGGGGAAAGGATACTGGGAGAAATTGTGTTGTGAAAAAATAAATATTGTTTTTAAAAATGATTTTAAAAATCATCAGCTAAATGCCATTGGGCAATTCACTTAATCCTCTCTCCTGGGACCCACTTTATTCATCTGTAAAAATAAAGAGGTTGGACTAATTGAATATAAGATTCCACTGAGCTATAAAACTATGTATTATAATTACTAATATGAGCATGAGGAGTTATACTCTGTAGTAATAATACTAACACTGATGTCTCAGGGATGATTGATTGTACCTTCACTAAATATCCCCAGGGTACTATGTTTTTTTGAAGTATTGTGATTTCTTTATTGTTAGCTTTCTACTATCATTTTTGATATCATCACTGTGCCTGTGTCTAGCAACACCCTCAGCTATTTTTAAGTTGCTGTCACTGGTCATAACCTTCTGTCTTGTTATTTCTCTGCCTGATTCCTGCTAAATTTTTTCTTCCTCAGTGTGACCTGTAGTCTCTTCATCCTTGTTCTAGCCTCTCTCCACAACTTAGACCAGTCTATCAACTCTGTCTTCAGTCCCTTGCCCTCTTATTTGGTTGCAGGGTCATACCTTGCAAAACTCTATCCCTGGGTCATTAGCACTGTCTGCCTCCTTTACTCCTATTTGTGGTACTTAACATTGTTGGAGAAGGTCATGCCATTGGGCTGATTGGGTCCACTACAAATTTATGTTACATATTCCCAATTGTCCCCTCACTTCTATATGCCACTCCTTTGACTCTGCCCCCCATGGACTCAATATTGGGTGCATCTTACATGGTGTTCTAAACCTTTTTCTTCTCCCTTCAAACATCCCGACCACCCCTTTCCTTTCAGCAGATAAGCTTACTTCATATTTTTCTTAGAAAATTGAGGCATCTATCATTTCCCCCAGTTTTATACCTCAGAACCTTTGACATCATCACCCCTTCTACCTTCCTTTGCTCCAGTAGCAAAGGAGGCTGTCCTTTTTCTTACCAAGTCCACTTCTTGTAAGTGTACCCTTGATCCTTCCTATCTCCTCCAGGACACTGCCCCTTCAATCTACTCTTCTGTCTCTCTTTGTCTGCTGGCTCTTTGCCTTCTGCATACAAACATGGACAGATCTTCATACTTAAAATACCTTCACTCAAATCTGCCATTCTCTCAAGCTATTATCTTTTATCTTTCTTCCCTTTTCTAGCCAAAATCCTAGAAAAAAGTTTTCTACTCTCTAATTCCATTATCTTCTCTCCTATGGACTTATCAACCACTATTCTCCTGAAACTGTACAAGATTGTCAGTGATTTTTGTTTTAATTGCTTAAATCCAATATAATCTTCTCACAGTTTTTGTCCTTCTTGTTCACTCTCTTTTGATACCTTTGACCACCACTCCAACTTGTTATTCTCTTTCTGAAGTTTTCATGATGCTGCTTTCCTTAGAATGGGGCTTTCTCCAAAGTCCTATCCTGGAATTTCTTCTCTTTCTCTTGTTTTCTCTATTCACTCTTGGTAGTTTCATTAGTCTCATGGGTTCATTTGTTACCTCATTTCAGATGACTCCTAAATCTACATGTCTAGCTCTGCTTGTCTCTTTTCTGAGCTTCAACTCAGGGAATTATCAGCTTCCTGCTTTACCTCTCATTGATATCTCATAATCAATATTTCTGATCATTTATATGTTGCCAGGCATTGTGTTTTCCTTAGAACCCATCTCTTTTCCTAGCATCCCTATTTCTTTCAAAGGCATTACCATTTTTCTAGTTACCCAATTTTGTATCCTGGGATCTGTCCTTTATGTGAGAGTTATCCTTGATATTTTTCTGTCTCTTATCTCCCATATATGATCATTTGACAATTTTGTCATTTCTTCCTTCACAATACAAACTCACGCATCTATCTACTTCTCCACATTCATCTCCTCAGACCGTCATCGTCTCTCATCTGAACTGTTATAATAGCTTCCTAATTAGATTCTCAACTTCTTGTCTCTTCTCTCTGTAAGTCATCCTCCACAGAGATGCCAAAATAAGCCTTCTAAAGCACAGGTCCAAATATGTCCCTTTCTGGCTTTGAAATATCTTCGGCTCCCTTTTGCCTCTAAGATAAAATCTACACTCCTCAGTCTGACATTTAAAGCCCTTCACAGTTTGGTTCCAGTCTGCCTTTGTAGTATTAGCAGTATTTTTGTAGTATTCCCAAAATAGTTAACTCTTCAGATTACTGTTTTGTAGTTTGGAGCTTTTTTTTTTTTTTTTCGAAAATATGAAGCCCTAAAAAAGCCTTTGCAGAACTAATAAATGTTAAAGAAAACTTAATTACAGCAAGCTTACACTGAACCAATGCCGTCTGGAGTTACTTAAAGTGTGTGTGTGCATGTGTGTGTGTGTGTGTGTCTGTCTGTCTGTGTCTGTGTCCACACGTGTGCAGGGAAAGGAGGCCATGTGCTTCTTTCCTAGAAAGCTTCAAGGTACTTCCTACTTCAAAGCTTTTTCTTTTACATGTTGCCTCTTTTCTCCTCCCCCCTTTTTAAATTAATTAATTTATTTTGATTTATCAACAATCACTTCCATAAGCTTTTGAGTTTTAAATTTTTCTCCCCCGCCCTCCCTACTTCCCTCCCCAAAGCAGCTTGCAATCTGATATAGGCTATACATATACATTCCGATTAAACATATTTTCAGAAAAAAAATAGCAAATAGTATGCTTCGATCTGCGTTCAAACTCTATAGTTCTTTCTTTGGATGTGGATGGCATTTTCTATCATGAGGCATTTGAAGATGTCTTAGATCCTTGTATTGCTGAAAAGGGTTAAGTCTATCAACGTTAGTCATCGCACAACGTGACTGTTACTGTGTACGACATTCTCCTGGTTCTGCCCACTTCACTCAGCATCAGACCATACAAGTCTTTTGAGGTTTTTATGAAGTCTGCCTGTTCATCATTTCTTATAGCACAATAGTATTCCATTACGTTCATATGCCACAACTTGTTCCCCAGTTGATGGGCATATTCTCAATTTCCAATTCTTTGCCACCACAAAAAGAGCTGCTATAAATATTTTTGTACATGTGGGTCCTTTTCCCATTTGTGTGATTTTCTTGGGGACACAGCTCTAGAAGTGCTGTTGCTGGGTCAAAGGGTATGCACATTTTTATAGCCCTTTGGGCATAGTTCTAATTTGCTCTCCAAAATGGTTGGATCATTTCACAATTCCACCAACAATTCAGTAGTGTTCCATATCTTCTCCAACATTTATCATTTTCCTATTTTGTCGTGTTAGCCAATCTGATAAGTGTGATGTGGTACCTCAGAGTTGTTTTGATTTGCATTTCTCTAATCAATAGTGATTTAGAGCATTTTTTCATATGACTATAGATGGCTTTAATTTCTTCATCTGAGAACTGCCTGTTCATATCCTTTGACCATTTATCAGTTGGGGAATGACTTGTATTCTTATAAATTTAATTCTTAATTCTCTATATATTTTAGAAATAAGGCCCTTATCAGAGAGATGGGTTGTAAAAATTCTTTCCCAGTTTTCTACTTTCCTTCTAATCTTGGTTGCATTGGCTTTGTTTGTGCAAAAACTTTTCAATTTAATTTAATCGAAGTTATCCATTTTGCATTTCATAATGTTCTCTGTCTCCTGTTTGGTCATGAATTTTTCTGTTCTCCATAAATCTGATAGGTAAACTATTCCTTGCTCTCCCAGTTTGTTTACAGTATTAACCTTTATATCTAAGTCGTGAACCCATTTTGACTTTATTTTGGCATATGGTGTGAGATTTTGGTCTATGCCTAGTTTATGCCATACTCTTTTCCAGTTTTCCCAGCAGTTTTTGTCAAAGAGTGAGTTCATATCCCAGAAGCTGGGGTCTTTGCCCCCCCGCCCCCTTTTTTAGTAAGCATACAAGAGTTGTTAGTTGGCTTTCAAGTTAGTTTTTTTTTAACTGTTAGACATTCTGTATCCTTCTTTTTAGGGCAGCTAGATAAAGTGTTGATCTTAGAGTCAGGAAGACTCATCTTCCTGAGTTCAAATCTGTCCTCAGTTACTTACTAGCTGTGTGATCCTGGACAAGTCACTTAACCCTGTTTGCCTTGTTTCCTCATCTGTAAAATTAGCTGGAGAAGGAAATGGCAAATGTAGTATCTTTGCCAAGAAAACCCCTAATGGAATCAGAAAGAGTTGGACACACCTGAAACAACTAAACAAAATCCTCTCCCTTTACATATGCAATTGAATTAGTATGGTGACATTATGCGTCGTGGAGTGTGGCTCAGGAGAGGAATTAGAAACAGAGAGGTCAATTAGGAAGCTCTTGTATTAGATCAGATGAGAGGAAATCAAAACCTGACCTGGCTGGTGTTTATGTGGGCAAAGAAAAATGACTTGAAGCTAGAGAAAGGGAAGTAGAGTTGATAAGATTTGACAAACAATTGGTTAAAGGGGATAATGAAGAGGGAAGACTCAAGTTTGAATCCCAGGCTATGATTTGAGTGATTTGAGGGATAGCAGTACCCTCAAAACATTGTATATGTGTAAGAATATGTATACATATGTGTATATGTAATATGTATACATATAATTACATATAATACAATCACATATAATCATACATACACATACATTTGTACATGGATACTCGCATATGTGAAATAGATATTAATCATGTAGATAGGTATGGAATTTTAATTACCTATTATTACCTTTAAAGCATGGAAATAAATCCTATAGAAAGTTATTGATTGTTGTTCTAAATACAGGTTTTGGCATTGAAAATATGGCAACAGCAATGGATGAAGACTTGGAAGAAGAACTGGATGAAAAAGATGAGAAATCCATGATGTGTCCTCCAGGAATGCATAAATGGAAACTTGAGCAGTGCATGGTTTGTACTGTCTGTGGAGACTGTACAGGTTATGGAGCCAGTTGTGTCAGTAGTGGGCGTCCAGACAGAGTCCCTGGAGGGTAAGGAAATAAATTAATATAAATAACTTACTTTTTATTTCTTTAGCTTTCTACAATTATTAGTAGAACATCAAGAATACGTTGTTTAGCATATGTTTATTTTAGAAATGATTGCAAATGTTTCAGAAAATCATTTTTATTATGCATTTGTTAGAACTAAAATTAAACTAATTTTTTCACTAAGAGTTTAGTGTATTTTTTATTCAAAATAGTTTTGCCCTTTCGTTAAGGAGCAGTGCAGATCCAGTATTGTTCCTCCTTTGGTAGCTCCTGATGCCATGGGTGCTGTGTCTCTTGACCCATAGCCATGGTTGCATAGAAATTCATGAATACTTAGTTAGTCTCCTAAGGTATGGAGAGGTTGTGATCTATATTGTTGGAAGGAGTAGCTAAAATAATGAAATCTGCAATATGAAGGAACAACAGGAAAGGGAAGGCTCACTGCATGAACTGAAACAACTTGAATGTGTACTATAAGTAATGAAGGACATGAACCTGGGCCGGCAAACAGTGGTTGCCCAGTAGAAAGCAAAGCAAACCGTGGTCATTTAATGTCATTTGTGATTTCAGCCAAGTCAGGTTTCAGATCTCCGCATGGGCAGTTATGATCCTGCCTCTGAATGCAGTGTTCAGGAGAGCTGTTTTTTTCTTAAACTGTGTCGGGAACATATTTCTCATGAGGGGAATAATGAGAGAAATGTCATAGGATTAGAAAATTTTGCTTTGCAAATTGAAAATATTTCCCAGGATCTGATGGAGTTTTGAAATTTAAACAGGAATAAGTTAGCTGAGGTAACAAAATGCTTAAAGCGCCTGGCCTGGAGTCAGGAACACCTGTGTTAAAATCCAGCCTCAGAGGCTTACTAGCTGTGTGACTCAGCACTTCATTTTTTGATACTAGATGCTTCCCAGCATAGCAGTCTGTGTACCTGATTTGGCACCATTTCTGTTACTAACGTCTTGTTATTTCAAGGAACTAAATTGTTGGCAAGATGTAATCGTGTAAACCAACACTGGACGTTCTGAAAGCCTTCATTTTTAATCAAACAAAATAAAAGCCAAAAATGATGTAGTAATGACCAACGATGACTGGAGAGACCTACTTTGGTCATCTTTAGTGAAAAGTGTGGATGAGATATTTGTGTTTTCCTTATTCTTTTTATTTAGTTTTGTTATATATTCAACCATTTGGCCTGAGAGTGTTTGGGTAGTATAAGCTTTCAGAGTAATAGTAGATTAAAAAGAAAAAAATGTAAAGATGAATTTCAGTTCTCTATTTCAAAAGCATGCTGAAATTCCATTAATTTTTCTACAACAAAATGTTATAGTTTAACTTAGGTTAAAAAAATTGTATTTTCTGACTTATTGGACATATAAAAATTATAAACGGGTTTTATATACTAGTTTTCAGGGGCAGCTAGATGGTGCAGTGGATAGAGTGCTGGTCCTGGAGTCAGGAAGACTCATCTTCCTGTGTTCAAATATGCCTTCAGACACTACTAGCTGTGTGACCCTGGACAAGTCACTTAACCCTGTTTGCCTCAGTTTCTTCATCTGTAAAATGAGCTGGAAAAAGAAATGACAAACCACTCCAGTATCTTTGCCAAGAAAATACCAGATGGGGCCACGGAAGAGTCGGCCACCACTGAAGCAACTGAACAATACTAGTATTGCAGTGAACATGTGAAAAGATTCAATAGAATCAATTATTTTTGTTTTTTATTGATTGGAGTTAAACTTGCAAGGAACTCAATTTTTACTCTGAAATACTATTGTGGAAAAATGAGCTGAATAAAAAGATCCTCAGATGACTTTTTTTCAGAGGGAAAAATTCAGTGGCAGAACTTTAGAAAATTCTTATTCAATAATCCTAAGAACTTTGATTTTCTGGGCTCTTTTGCTTCCAAAAATCCATAAGTGAGTAGCTGTTCTTATGGAAAACTTTTCTGTAAATGGAAACCAGATTATATTTCCAGAAGTAATAACTGTGCTGTTTTAGCCTTTTCCTCCTAGAACAACAGAGGATGAAAAGTCATTTTTTGAAAGACTGTAGTTGAAAAACTGAATCATGAGTTCTTCTAGGCCTAGTGCACCTTGATGCTTGCTCCTTAGGCTTGGTGTAGTGCCGTGCTTGTAGCAGGTGCTCAACAAATACTTTTGTTTAATATAGTATCTTCATTTCTTAACTTTTCTCACTAGAGCTGTGCACTGTTTCAGTGTACGATTATCCAGTTTGGAAAATAATTCCGTATCTTTTTTTAATTTACGACACTATCATTAACCTTGAGTGGCTATCTGGAGCTCTTGGACATGGAACAAATCTGTTAAACTTATTTGCTTATTGTGTGGGTGAACTAGTCAGTTTTTTCAGGTCATCCTCACTGCTGTCCATGCTGTCATGAGGAAAGTGCACATGGGGGACCAGAAGGCAGATTTTTCCTTGAAAAATTTGGAGGGTCTTTAAGTCCTAAATTCTTGACTGTCATAAAATTGTAGCTATCACTAAAATCAGTAATACCTTTACTTTATATTTCCTTTTATTTCCTGATAAGTAGCTTTTTTTAAAGTTAAGAAGTGGAGGGGGAGTGATATTGGTAAAGTAGCACTAGATCAGGGTCATCACTTGAATTTTTAAAAACTTTCCTATAATGATGATGACAGGCCAGCTGTGTGTCAGTTTTGAAAGTATATTTATTCTGTATGTATTTGTTTCCCTCGATTAGAATGTTAGCTCCCTTTCTTTAAGGACCAAATACATAATCCTTTGACACTGAAGGCTTTTCATAACCTGGCTGCAGCCTACTTCTAACGTTCTAACCAGAATAGCCTTCTTGCATCTACTCTGTTATTGCCTTGACTGTACCCCAAAACTGAAATAGCCTTCCTCCATCCCTCTGCCACTGAAGAATCTCTAGTTTCCTTCAAAATTTAGGGAAGGTGCCAACTCCTACCTCCCCACAACCTTGAAATTATCCTGTGTATACACTTACCTGTATTCAAATTGTTTCACATGGTGTAGATATAAGCTCCTTAAGGACAGATCTGTTTTGATTTTATGTTTGTATCCTTAGTACTAGCACAGGATCTGGCATGTCCCAAGCACATGATAAATATTTGGTCATTAATTAAATAAACTTAGGGAAACTTTGATTTTTCTCTTTTCAGATATTGAAGTCTTGTAGTGGAAGAGGGATTAAATTTGTAGTGGAAAAGGGATAAATAAAGGGATAAAACTCCTCTTTTTAGGCTGCTACCCAGTTCACAAGCAGTTTCCCTGATAGACAGCCACCTGAGGTTCAAGTTAGACTGTAGTTCTGCACTTCTGAAACTGTAACGCAGGAGCTACCATTGGCCTGTTTATCTTCAGTAGTCATCAAGAGCACATAATCAGACATTTACTGAAATGGCATAGTCAGAAGCAAAATATTCCCCCCATAAACCTAGGGTGCAATATCCACCCTAGTGGATGCCCATCAAGTTCACAACTATCAAGGCACAAGAATAAGGTAACACATGGCCAAAGAATTCGGGTATATACTGTGCATATATTTTGTATTCAGTGTGTGTGTGTGTGTGTGTGTGTGTGTGTGTGTGTGTGTGTGAGAGAGAGAGAGAGAGAGAGAGAGAGAGAGAGAGAGAGAGAGAGAGAGAGAGAGAGAGAGAGAGAGACCTGATACAATATAAAATCTTTGAAAATAGAGACCACTTTGTTTTTGTCACACAGTACAAAATAAGATGTTTAAAAATGGTTTTTTTGTTAGTTAATTGGGTATACTTAAGGAAAATGTGTCAGATCTCTTTAGGTATTTGAAGAATTGTATGAGACGAAGGATTACATTTGAAGTGAAAGAAAGATTAAATTATACCAAAGACTGAATCTCAACAGTTGGTATAATTTATGGGGATTTCTCAGTTCAGCATAAAGAACTTAATAATAATTAGAATTGCTCAGAAATGAAATTGTTTGCCTTAGTAGGCAGTTACCTCCCAGTCACTGACTGGATAACCATCACGTTAGGTAGTGTTGGACCTATGTCATCGCCCAAGGAGAGTCATTGATGACTGCTGTATGAGAAATGACATGAAAGGAAAGGAATGATGTGGCAAGAAATGCTGTTAAATAATTTTGATTCTTTGTTTTAGGATCTGTGGCTGTGGTTCTGGGGAATCTGGCTGTGCTGTATGTGGTTGTTGTAAAGCCTGTGCAAGAGAATTGGATGGTCAGGAGGCAAGACAAAGAGGAATTCTTGATGCTGTGAAAGAAATGATACCTTTAGATCTCTTATTAGGTAGGGTGATACTATTGATTTGTTTGTGTGTGGCATGTTTTACTCTTGTAACTTAGAAATTTTATGCTTTAATAAGTATAATTAAATATAATACATATCTAAGTATTTTGAAGAAAACAGGCAACTTACAGTTAAATAAAATCAAGGAAACTGATAATATGGATTACTTCTTAAATACTGTGACTGTCCTGGCTCCCTCTAAAATGAGCCCTCACTATAACAAAAAAGAGCATACATTTATGTAGAATAGTTTTCTCAGTTTTTAGTTTCTTATGCATTTTGATCATGTCTGTGATGTAACGTAATCCTCTTCTTATATTGATAATTCTCCAGCTGTCCCTGTACCTGGAGTTAATATTGAAGAACACCTTCAGTTGCGGCAAGAAGAAAAACGACAGCGTGTAAACAGGAGGCATAGACTGGAGGAAGGCAGAGGTAAGATTATGGAGAAGACATTAGTTGAAAACCTGATGGTTTGTTCAAATGGGAAAATTTGTTTTTAAAATCAAAGTATTTGTTTACAGTTCTCTGAACATCCTTTAATTTTAAATATTCTCCTTATAAAAGATGCTGTTATCCCCCAAATAGATTACGTAAAGTATATTTACCATCCAAACAGGAACTTTACCATCAGCCTGAAGATAAGTATTTATTTAGCACATCTTCTTGGGCATCCCTCATAAGAGATATCTTTTTACTCCAGTGGAAAGCATCCCAGCTTATTCATCTGATCAAGCAATACTGGTTTCTAGGAAGTAGACAAGCTCCATAGCTACAAAGCAGTTTTAATTTAGTCTTATATTTCTGTATCTATCAGCCCTTATTTCAGTACAGCTTTTTCTGGGGAACATTGTCTCATTATGTGAATTAATTACTATATGTAGACAGGCCAGGATTCAGGTGAGTGGACACATCTGCAAATTTTTTTTCAGAAACAGATTTACTGTTTTCTTGTCCTACTGGCATCTAACTATTTCCCTTGGTTTCAAAGTGATTTGGAGGTTTTAATTAGTTTTTTTTTAAATATTGTATCTTGTTAGGATAGTCAAAGTGAGACAGTTATGAGCATTACCAAAGCATCTTTCCCAAGGAGGATTTTAATAAGCTGTGTTTAGTTTGGGATTTTCTTGCCTAACAAATAAAACTGTCAAAATTCACACTTATTGCTACCAGATATCATAAATGTTTGTTTAAAATGAAACATTTGTTGTTGAAGTTAAATGAAACCTCCAATGGGTCACATCATCTCAAGAAACAATTCATGGTGACAGCTCATATCTCCTTAAAGGTAGTAAAATTTTATTTTCTTTTGGACTCAGTGATGAATTATTTTTGAAAGCAGAGAAACCTTGTCTGTCAAGTTGCAGAGTGGTAAAACATGTATTTGAAAGACTAATATTATAACTATGGTTCTTTATTGATCAATTAATAGATTGTTTTTATTACTATTTTCCAGTTCATGCTAAGTCACATTTCTTAAATGCTTAAATTCGAAGAAAATGTTACGGTGACATGCAAATATATTTTTGCCTAATTATTCCTGTAGTTCTCTAAATGTCTGGGATAGTTGTGTGTTAAATGTTTCATGGATTTAAAAAGTTATAGTTTGAGGACATAAAAGAATTTTAAAACATTGTTATTGGGCCTTTACTGTTTATGCTTATTAAATGGTCTTCATTTACCATGTAAGTGATTTGAGCTGTAAAAAGGATATTGTAAATTGTCATCCATATAACTTTTCCTCCCCTTCCACCTTACTTTTTTACATGGCATGAAAATTAGTTAATCTCAGAATGAAGCTGACTGAATTGTTTAATGCTAAAATCTTTGTCTTTACTGCACCAAAGTAACTTTGTTTTTCATTCATAGAAGAGAATATACTTCAAATAAGTTAACTTATTTGTAGGTGTATTCAGAATGCAACATTCCTTTACTTCATCTGATTATATATTTTTTTACTTGTGATTGTTTATAAAATGTGTCATGGGCCGCAAACATTATTCTCATTCATTCTTTTCTCATTAAATATTAAATAAGTCCTCTTTATGCTGTTGTATTTGATTTAGCAAATATACACATCAGTTTCAGAAAGTTGTGTTTTTCTATTATAAATTCCATTCTTAATAGCCCTAAAGATTCAGTAACAGCTCATTTACTTATAATTATTGGGGAATCAACTGTTCATGTATTTTAATTTTCTAGGTAGCTGAAGCTTGCCCCTTTATGCACCTAAACTTTTATTTTAACCATTTTTGTTGAAATCTTCCTAAAAGTTGTTGTACATATACCTTCTACTTTTAAACATTATTTTGACCATAAAACAACCTGTGTTTCCTGACCCAAAGTCATTATTATGAACTATAACTTGTAAATACTTTATTGTAATTACAGACCTGGGTTCAGTTCTCCTTTGGCTTTGTGACCCTGGGTAAACCTCTTAGTTCTCCAGGCAACTCTCTGATTATAAATTACAGAACAGCTATTGATTTGCTTTGCTAAAGTAAGTTTTCTCACCCTGCATTATTTACACAAATGAAATCCCAGGTGAAGAGCCAAAAATAAAACATTGCAATTCAGGGATACTCTTAGGGACCATGAAGGTAGGTGTGATTTTTTTTTTGTACCCAAACTAATTGATCCCCAAATTGCTTTTTCCATTTCTGCTGGCTCCTTCCTCACTGTCACTATCACTTCTCTGTGTTTGATCTATATTCCTTCTCCTTCTCCTCAATATTTTTTTTGAGTGTAGAAACTTTTTTATAAAATTAATTCATTTGTCTTTAGTTTTGAACATTCACTTTCATAAGCTTTTGAATTTTAAATTTTCTCCACTTCTCTACCCTCCCCCCTCCCCAAGACAGCATGCAATGTGATATAGGCTTATTAAATATATTTTCACATTAGTCATATTGTAAAGAAGAATTAGAATGAATGGAATGAACCACAAGAAAGAAGAAACTAAACAAAAAGAAAAAAGAGAGAGAGCCAATAGTATTCTTTGATCGGCATTCAGACTCCATAGTTCTTTGGTTGTGGATAGTATTTTCCATCATGAGTCTTTTGGAACTGTCTTACATCATTGCATTGCTGAGAAAAGCTAAGTCTATCAAAGTTGGTCATTGCACAATGTTGCTGTTACTGTGTACAATGCTCTCCTGGTTCTCCTGATTTCATTTACATCAGTTCATGTAAGTTCTTCCAGGTTTTTCTGAAGTCTGCTTGCTCATCCTTTCTTATAGTACAGTAGCATTCCATTACATTCATATACCACAAGTTGTTCAACCATTCCCCAATTGATGGACATCTCCTCAATTTCCCATTCTTGACCACCACAAAAAGAGCTGCTATAAATATTTTTGTACATATGGGTCTTTTTTCCCATTTTTATCTTCTCTTTGGGATACAGTCCTAGAAGTGGTATTGCTGGGTCAAAGGCCCCCCAATATGTTGTTACCTAAGCTTTTAAAATGTCAGCTTATTTTATACTCATGTTCAAACCAACCACCAGTCCATGAGTAACTCAGTAATTTGGGAGCAAAAGTATTTCTTAGAAATGAATGAAAAATGTTTAAGTGCTTACTTATATGTTTAAGGATATATACTAAGTGCCTCACAAAAACAAAAGCTAAGATAGTTTCTGGAACAGCTATTTTTCTTGGCAGCCTATTTGATTTACTTTCAGATTCATTGCTGTCTTCTGAATGGCTTAGATTGCTGAAAGTCCAACTTTATGGTAAGGGAGGTATTAGACTAAAAAGAGCACCTTTCGGGTAGCATGGTATAGTAGATAATAAAGTAGACTGTGCAATCTGAAAAACCTGGATTCATATCACATACTATGTCAGCACAGCTGTGGCAACCTACACAAATCATTTAATCTCTCTATGGCTGCTTTAAAATGAGAGGTTTAGGTCCCTTTCCAGTCTAAATTTATGATCCTATAAGATGTGCGCATCCTTCTATTTCTACTTTAACAACTGGGAAATTGATTTTAGTGCATGTTGCTTAAAATATTTGCTTGCTCTTTAAAAAGAAAGACTTTTTTTCTTGAAAAATCAAATTGGACTAAAACATTTATATTACAGATTTTTATGTACCTTGTGATAATTTTCTGTTTTAAATCTATAGGAAATGTAGAAAACTTTGTTCTGAATCTTCTAGTTTAAAATGTAGGGGTATCTCTATTTGGTTCAATATTGAAAAGAATGATTGCCGGTATCACCTTAGTGTCATAACTTCCTATGAAGAAGACAGTACTGTCTAAGAATGGGGGGAATCTATCCTCCAGTTTCTCTTCTGCTTTGTACTTTATAAGGTTATATATGTGTCAAAGACACTCTTTAGTTGAAAATAGGCACTGTTTAATCACCAATAGTGTGAGAACAAATTTAGTTTTCATAGTCATTTGTTAGCTGTTTAAATTTACATCCTGGCTCAGATTCTTAAAATCTAGCCACTGCTCAGATTCTTATAATCTAGCCACTAGCTCACTTACGTTCAGACTCTTTCAGAGTCTTCCCAATGTCACAGATGTTCTAATAAACCTTGTCTTTGGCTGGAAGACAAAAGATTTTCGTATTCAGAGCCAATGATTTCTTTTCTCAAAGATCACCTACCAATCAAACGTGGTGATTTTCAGGCCGTTCCAAGATATGGCCTATGGAGTCTGAGGGCACTTTGGGCTCAGATATCATTGCACTTGGCCAAAATACGGACCTATTGCAAGTCATTTCAAAAACCCAAAAGAAATTAGATTTTTATTATAAGATCAGACCTAGATTATTATTGTATAGTATGTGTTTGTGATAAAAAAAAAAAGAAAAAAGATCTGAGATCCTTAACCAAAAGAGCATGAAGAATAAGGTGAAAATTCTATCAATGTGATGGCCACTCAAATTAACAATGTCCTCCCCAAGTATCTGTACAGGAAAACCAGCGAAATCCTCCTAGTGCTTCATTGCCAAAGATAGCAATTGACAGTAGCACTTCTGATAAGGATCAAATAAATAAATAAATAAACAAACAAATAAATAAATAAAAAGATTTACATCCTACTGCTTCAGGTCTGGTCAAATCATTTTAGTTTATCCAATCTTAAGCCTGTTTACTAACTCTAGGTTCAGTAGGAATTGAGTAGAAAAACTGAATAGGAGGGTAGCTAGGTGGTACAGTGAATAGAGTGCCGAGCCTGGAGTGAGGAAGACTCGTCTTCTTGAGTTCAAATCCAGCCTCAGACACTAGCTGTGTGACCTTCGGAGAGTCACTTAACTTATTCTCAGTTTGTCTCGGTTCTTCATATGTAAAGGATGAGAAGGAAATGGCAAACCACTCTAATATCTTTGCCAAGAAAACCCCAAATGGGGTCCCAAAGAGCCAGACACAACTGAAAACAACTGAATGACAACAACAGCATAGGAAACAGTGTTGGGTAGTAT